AGAATTCTCAATTCCTGTGATAATTCTCAATAATGACCACAAAAATATGTGTCCAATGTGCAACTTGACACACAAATATTACTCGGTGTGTATGCATCTACTTGAGGTATGGGTGTACAATATGTCAATATTAGATCATGAAGGATTAGATCTTTTAAATGATCTGCCAAAGTGAGGAGATCATATGGATTGTGTAAGTCACATTTTATAAGCTGCAGTTTTATAGTGATCCACCAAACCGCCTGACTTACTACATAATCAAACTGACCTATCGATCATAACGAATAACCGGTACTGACTCACTTTCTTACCTGCCTCACTCTTTGTGTGTGTAGCGGTAGCCGCATGGAGAGACATGGCCGAAAACCAGATGGAGGACTTCCATTATATGAAACTTGTTTTGATTTTTTTCAAAATACCAAGGCACAAATAAAAGTAATTTGCAAAGTTAGCTCAGAGATGGTTTGCACATTGGACGGCAACACAGCAAACTTTTTAAATCACTTGAACAGAAAGCACCCAGAAAGGTATGAGTGTCATGATCTTGGCGCTGATGGTTTGTTTTTTTCCTTTGCTCCTTGCTCCCTGTCTAATTGGTTCTGCGGCTGATTATCGCCGATCATTTCCACCTGGTTCCTCTACTATATAAGTTGTGTGTTTGCCTCCCATCAGCGCCAGGTTATTCGTGTGTTTTGGTGAGAAGTTTCCTAGCTTCCTTTAGTCTGTCCGCTTCCCTGATTATGACCAGTTTTCTGTCCTGTGGATCTCGAGTTTTGCCTTCCCCCTGTCTGCTCTGTTTGTCGCATCTGGTCCTGGTTTCTGAACCTGGAACTGTCTCCTGACTTCGGCCTTGGATTTCCCTTCTGGACTCTGTTGCTGCTCGGCGTCTGCTGCTCGCTCTCTAGGAACTCTGGGGGCGTGGCCGCCACAACTGCAGTCAAACCTCCCTTCTGGATTCTGCTGAGTTCTCCGCGAACGGACTGAACATTGAATCAGGTCAGTGACTAGCTCCAAGTCGCATTCAGCTCCACATCCAGTCACTGACCTGTATTCTCCTATCACTTGAGAGATCCGCCCGCAGTAGACAAGCAGCCCTGCGCACCTGTTAGCGTTTAATAAACGCTTTGAACTTTCCCTCTGCCTGTCTCGCCTCGAATTCTGGGTCCAATATTCTGAGATCACTACAATGAGAGCCAAACAGTCAGGGGACAGCCGGGATTATCGCGGCCAGAGGCAGTCGCTGGACCCAAACAGTCATTAACACAGACTTTGATAAAGTCTTATGTATGAAAAGAACAAAAGATGCAACAGAAGCTGTTGATTTTGATCTCTTAAAAGATGCGGCTCCGTTCAAGACAATTGAAAACGGGGGGTTCAACCGCCTGAATAAAGTAGTTGACTTGTGGTATGACCTGATTGGCCAAAAAAAATGCCTCTCCAATACTGCAATGTTTACGATCAAGCAAAACTGCTTCTATTCAATTTAAAACCTGTTTTGAAAGATTCTTTGCTCCGTTTTTTTAGGACTCTTTACATGCAAAAACAGTTTGGCTACACTGACCAAAGACTTACAAATTATTCTGAAAAATACAAGTAAGCTCATGATAAAACAGAAATAAGGATTTTATAAATGAAAAAAATCAGGATATGATATTTTTGCCACCTAGAGCCTGTATGAATGAATCAACAACTGTGGGTTAAAGAAAATGCATAATACATTTAAATTGGTGCAGAGGAGTGATTGTAAACCTCAGCCTGAAACTTTAACTACAACTGTTTTCCACCACAACTAGAGTCACTGAGATTTTTTTCTTTTCTGGGATTTTGAATAACTTGGTCAGTCTACACACGTGAGCCTTGGTTGGTAATACATAATGCTTCTCAAATTACCTCACAAATTAAAAGGCATTAAAACCAACCCCATCTTTTTATCTACACCTGCTTTATGACCTGCATAGATTTAACAGACAGCAGTAGAATCAATACACACTAACAGCCTTCCAGCCTTTGAGACAATGTTTAATTCAATCGCTCTAATTAGCTGGCCTTGATAAAAAATGTAAGTTTAGCCGCAGAGTCCTGCATTCTGTATTTATCAATAGTCGATTCCATTGGGTTAAAAAAAAAAAGCAAAGAAAAGCCTATTTCTGGTCTACTGCAGTGAGCTGTTTAATGACTCCCAGAGTTAACGGTCTATACACGGACTTAATGGTCCGCTCTCATTTGTTTTATGGGCCCATATTATGGCGATGAAACCTTTCTTCTGTTCTGTCAAGCTGGATACATACGGAGAGTTAATTGGTGATGTTTCATGGCATTTACAGATGAATTTAAGGCAAACAGGAATGAACTCATCATGAACCGAAAAAGTCCTATGTTAGCTCAGTTGCACACTCCACAAATCCCTCCTTCACCACAACTATACAATCTCTATATTTATTTTATTTTTTTGCATTTTCCGCAGCATACCGTTAATCTCGAGTCAACCCTTCTGTTGAGGGATTTATTTCCTGTAAGCCCCTCTTTTAGTCCTGCCTGTGCTTCTATTAATTTTCTACAAAATCAGATTTGGAAGTATTTCACATATCTGCAGGCCTAGAAAAGCCGATTTGAGTCTGTCCAGCAATAAGACAGGCACTTAAGAATGGATAGATATTTGCCCTTGCTACTTATGCTTCCACTTTATTTGAAGAGTAATTGATTATTTCTGCACCTTCCTAATAAATACATAGAAACAGCTTTAATACCTTTTTCAAAGATAGGTGCAGCCTTTCTATTTGTTCTGAGATCTGTTACTCATGGTGAAATGAAGAAATACCAATACCTCACGAACTGTTCCCTGTTTCATGAAGTTGTAACCACAATTTTCATTATACTTTTTAGGATTTTATGGGAAATGTAGTCTCAAGACATGCAAGAGACATCACAACTAAATATGCAGAGAAAGTCGCTACGGTAAGATCAGGACTAAACATATCATGACGGAAACCAGAAATCCCATGTGAAGAGTGAAAACATTAATCCTTTTTCAACAATTTTATGGTAGGAAGTTGTAACCCTGGTGTCATCCTGCAGTGATGGTAATCTTAAGCTACTGTATGACAGGAAAACTGATCAGACTAAATTTGATTTAAAAAAAAATAAAAAAAAATAAAAACTGTTAGAAGTTTCCTAAAAGCCATGAAGGGTCCCACTAAACAAGTGGAAGAATGAACTCCACTACAGGATCATACTGTGGGAATACTTTCTCTTCTGAGGGACAAAGAAGCATGTCAAAACTAATGGGATGAGGGATGGGATGAATTAGGCAATCCTGTGAGAACACCTACACAGCCATGCAATTACCAGGTGCCTAATAAGGCAATTTTCTTTGGAAAAGATTTAGAAAAAAAGTCTGGTCATGAGCTTCAAGTGGCAGTTTGTGGATGTTCAGTGTGACAGGGACAACATCTGCAGATTTTAAGAGGAAAACAAATTACATATTTTCTTATTTCCCAAGCCTTTTGCAGTTCCTTGGCTATTATCTCTTTAAATTCTACTTGTATTTTATGGTACCTCAGCAATGACTTATCTGAAAGAAAAGCTTGCACTGGAGAGTCCATCAAGTGTAAATGACTTTTAAGTCCTGTATGATTTTGAGATTTCAGTGTACGGTGGACTTTTGAGATTGTGAAAACCTTGTGACCAGCTTCTTGTTGTCTTGTTGTCAAGGTGCAGCCTTGAATTACATGGGATTCAGAGTTTATGGAACAACCTTATAGATTAAAAGTCTGTTTCTATCAATTTCAACTACGATTTACCTCATTTTTGTAGACAGAAACATTTAATATGAAATATGGTCATAACTGCACTGCAAAAAACATCTAGAATTAAGTAAAAAAAAATCTTAAATTGAGTGTTATTACCCTTAATTTTAGCAGATAAATAAGATGAATTGCCAATGGAATTTATATTTTTACTCCTAAAACAAGATAATTGGATAATATGCGCTTGAACTAAGACAAAACATTTCTTTTTTTCTTATATTAAATGTCAATTGTCTTGTTCCATTGGCAAAGTATCTCATTTACCTCTTCAATTCAAGACAAAATGCACGTAATTTAAGCAAAAATGACTCATTTAGATTTCCATTTTTGCAGTGTGGTAGATATATACCATTTTTGGCAAAAGGCAAACCTTTGACTCTATTTACAAATTGTGTGCCTCCTTTAGCCATTTTTACACTGGATTTTATTTAGCAGTATTGCAGTAAATGTGGTTGGAGAAACTATTTGTCATTCTTTTAAAAAGCAATACATAATTTCTACCCCTGCTTTAAGTAGGTCTGTTGCATACCCCAGTAAACAGCAATTAAATTTAAGATTATAAGGTGATGAAAAAAAAAATTGTATAAATAAGCTGCCAGTTTTGCACCCATTAAAATAGTGAAAATCTAAATCACTTGAGTGTGATCTTGCAAATTTAAAAAAGAACGTTTGCTTTAACAGACAATAGAATAACACATCAGCCACAGGTGCATCATTATGTTACCTTATCCTTTATTTCAAACATGTTTTATGTACCTGCAAAAGGGAAAATGTCTGTTCATCTTCGTTGAAATAGAAAACAGCAAAAACGAATAGAACTCTCCCAAGAATCTAGTAGGGGAAAAAAATAATATCCAAAAATATTGGACACTGTCATCTGCAAGAGTACAACAGGGAAATAGAGAAAAAAAAAAAGGTGAAACAAAAAGCACAAACCTGTGAGCTCAGCTGCAAGAAAAGTGTCACGTTAAAACGTCAGAGGGGAGCTTTAAAAATGATTCCCTTGTTTTTGGTAAAAGATAAAGAAAAGAGCAACAAAGTTAAAGCGAGGGATTTCACCGGTGAGTTTCATCAAAATCACAAACCATACTGCTAAAATGCAAACCAAAACCACAGCAACAGCAAACCTCCACACAAAACAACCAAAAAATAAAAATAAAAAAATAAAAATACTAAAAATCTCCCAAAACCCACCAGTAAATGCGCAGGATTTCTGCAAAACTGCAAGCAAAGTGAGAGGCTTTCTCAGAGACAGATAAACGCACCCGTTTCTTTTTTTTTTCCTTTTCTTTTTTTACCCTCTCGATCTGAATCACTGCATGCTGAAAACTTGAAGCCTGGATGGATTGATTGTTGAGGGGGAGAGAAAAAAAATGCTTCAAACCAGCGCGTCAAATGCTCAATTTAAACACCAGCAAAAGGAGGAAAAACAACAAAAAAAGAAAAAAAAAGAAGGGGGGTAAATTTAGAAGACAAAAAAAAAATATTTTGTTTAGAAAAACAGAAAAAAAATAGCCATTGGGAAAGTGTACTCACCGAGCGGGAGTAAAATGTTGCAATAAAAATGTGAAATGGCTCAAAAGAGGCTACAGTATGGCGGTGCGAGGCGGAATGCTGTGCCTTTTTCCCCTCTCTAGCTCTCTGCCTCCAGTTCTGTCATGTGACTCCTTCAGCTCCGACTTCCAGCAATGAGAGTCCAGCCTCGAACAGCTGATGATGCCGACTGCTTTCCTATAACGCCTCTGCTCCTGCAAAAGTAGTGTAAAAAAGAGAAAAAGAAAGAGCGCTGCGCTGCTTATCGCGCCACGGTTACAACTGAACCGGTTTTATGTATCTCTGCTGCATTTTGAAGATGCACAGCTCTCTCCTGTGTCAGAGCCACGGGACGATCAAGTCATGCGGGGTTTTTTCTTCCTCTTCCCTTTACTGTCATCGTGAGCTTGTGCATAAGACATGAATCTCAGACGAATCTAATCAGTGGATTTAAAGATATGAAAAACAATGAAACATCATGTTTTAACAGCACATAGCTTCACTCTTTATTCTGAGGCTGGGATGCAGTTTCAGATTTTCAGGTTTTCCAGCATTTATTGTCATTACAGTGTAACAAGTACAGAGCAACGAAAAAAAAAAAAAAAAGCCCTCTCCCTTTAACCCATTGAGGAGCATTGGGCTGCCATTGGGCGGCGCCTGGGGAGCAGTGTGGGGTTAAGGGTCTTGCTCAGGGACCCAGAGTGGCAGACTCTGGGAGTGAGGCTTGAACTAGAACCTCTGAATTCCAAGCGCAATGCCGTAACCACTAGGCTGCCAGTTTGAGTTAGCCAATACAGATCAAGGTCCATTCATTAAAAAAAATAAATAAAAAATTAACTAAACACAGTCCCATGTTATATCGAGACATCTCCAATATGAAGCCACATCTTTAATGATAAAAAGTATTTTAAAAGAAGGTAGATACTAAATGTATCTTAATTTAACCAAATGTTTGGGTTATATACTTAATGGCTAATTGGTATTTATAGTGCTTTTTAAACTAGGGTTTTACTGTGATAACTAAAACAAAGTATAATAGAAACAAAGCCATCATTCATTAAAACAATACAGAAAGCTCAATGTTATAGTGCCAAATTTGATGTAAAAGGTATATTGATGAAATGGGATGTTTCTTTTTAGCCACTAGTGCTTACTTGTCAGTTCTAATTAAGAAATTCAATATTTTTGGCAAAACATAAGGGTTATTGAACTTGTCTTTTTTTATTGAAATAAAAATTTGCTTTGTCCAAGCATCTGGAACCAAATGACTGTGCAACACAATCAATTTAGCACAAATATTATATACATCCAGTGGTAAATTCAGAGATGGCAAAAGTACTCACTTTGCGTACTTGAGTAAAAGTACAGATACTTGTGTTAAAAAATACTCTGGTAAAAGTGGAAGTACTGATTAAACTTCTTTACTCAAGTAAAAGTAACAAAGTACAGGCTTGTAAATTTACTTAAAGTATAAAAGTAAAAGTAGAAACCACTTTTTTCATGCCGTTGCCTACATTTTAAATGGATGTCTGCCAATAGGACTAGATCTCCGTTGTGTTCATTTTCAATCATCTCGTCGTCCATACTACTATGCTAACGCCACCGCCACCAAGCTGCAATGATTTGCCGCGAATGAAAACTGCCGAATCTGTCGATTCATCTTGTAGTGGTGCGTCAAATGCAACGTAGATTCCCATCCAATTAGATGGAATTTGGTATTGATGACGTGAAAAATAATAACGGTAACTCCATTGAAATGATTCAAAACTAAAGTAACGAGCCAATTTTTAAAAATGTAAGGAGTAGAAAGTACAGATATTTGTGTAAAAATGTAAGAAGTAGAAGTAAAAAGTCGCCATAAAAATAAGTAGTAAAGTAAAGTAAAAATATCAGAAAAATCTACTTGAGTACAGTAACAAAGTATTTGTACTTCGTTACTTCCCATCTCTGGGTAAATTTGAACAAGAAGTTACTCCGCTGCATGGAGCAGTGTAACCTAGTGGACCAGAAAACGTGCACTATCCGTGGTATTGAAACAAAATCTTGGTAGTGCTTTGAATATTTCTGAGCCCACAGCAAAGAAACTAGGAGGTAGAATAATGGACAAAGTGATGTCCAAGGTTTTTAAGCTGAGAAGCTGGCACGATTGAATGTAGCAGCAGTGTTGTCTAAGCTCTGTCCATGGTGCTGAAACTGAGCACTGTACTTCAGTACAATGTAGAATTCAAGATTCAATGTAGTTCCAAAGCCCTATAAGTGGTACAAGTGGGACCCAAAGTGACAAATTTCTAGAACAGCTAACCACTATTTGGTTGCATTATGTCATTTGAAGTTTGAAGCATTATATCAAATTTTCTAAATAACCCTACCCTAAATAACACATAAATAACCCTAAATAACGCATCTCGCTCTCCCTCCCTCATCAATTGAATAAATACACCTGAGAAATATAGGTTATTGCTGATGGCAACAGACAGAAAAGTAATAATGCACTATTGATGCATTAAAGTCCCACAGTGATTGTCGGACAGAGCTCAGAACGAGTACATGTTACGCTCAGCGATGGAGACAACTGTCACCATTCATAAATCAGAGCACAGGTCGGCGCACTGCTCCTACCTTAAGCACTGTCTAATTTAATTCCTGTTTCAAAACACATCTGTGCCTGTGGGAGGTACAAAAAAACAAAAAAAAAAGACGAAGCATGTTATGCTGTCCCCATTGAATATTTTTCAAAAGTGACCAAATTCTGGCAATTTTACCACTAAGTTTGTTTTACTATTTATGGTCATGTAACTTTTAAGGTCAATTAAACATTTTTTTGGAAACATTTAGCAAGCCACATTCCTTTGATTTATCTACAGCATGGCATTCCAGGGCTTGAGACTAAATATAGTGGTCTGTGAGTCGCTGTGCAGGACATCACTTTAATTGTTGATGCCTGAGGGTGCATATAATCTCACTCACTACTATAGAGGTTATCAAAGAGACACAGAGGTCTGATTCAAGAATTGGACTGTTCATAGATGCTTGTGCCAAAATGGTGGTAGAGATGTAATGGAGAAAATTAAGTAATCAGAGCACAGAAAAAAAAATATGCAAACTATAGCTAATTCCTGATGGCTTTCAAACTAAACATTATGAACATTAATTTTGAGTTTATAATTCTCACCTTTTTAACTTCAGTTAGCAACAATTCCTACATTTATCCTGAAGCAATAGTGTCTTGAAATTTTAAGCTTTTACTTTTTTTAAAACATCCTTCAGCATCTAGCTTTGCTGCCGTGGTAACTGTAAGCAACCTTGAACAACAAGTGAATATTAAATATCAGTTGTAATATTTATGTTGTTTTTTTGCGCCTTTAAGCAGCAAAAAGCTCAGCAACAACTTAATGAGTGTTTGACTTTAAAATATAGCTGATTGGAGCTTTACATTTCCACTGTTTTTACATCTCTCAGCCGCTGCTCCTTCACTAATCATAAGAAACTCAGAATTAAAGGAAAAGTGAAAAAGCACTTGAAGAATACAAGTATAAAGTACCCTTTAAAAAAACAGCCAGATGCCACTATATGAATTGAAAGCCCAGTTTTTCAACAATTTCGAAAAATTCTTTGAGATAGGGCCAAGGATGAGGGAGGTCTTGTTGGTCTCCATCTCCCGATACACACTCGCATGTGTTCGACCTTTCAGACCTTTCAATCTTTTTTCTGAATCAGACATTGTAGCATGGGATAGACAATTTGCATTTGCTGTTTGAAGAACACCTGCTTCTTTCTGATGGTTTCCTTTGGCGTCAGCACAAATTTTATGAATATCTAACCAATGAGTGTTTGCATTATATGACTCATCCAGTTACACTAGTTTTCACTGTATGTGGATGGCGCCAATGATCTGTATTGGATGGCGCACATGACCTGAAATAAATATTTATAAACATTAAACCAAAGCCAGGAGTAACGAGTAACCTTTGTTTTAAAAATGTAAGGAATAGAAGTACAGACACTTGTGTAAAAATGTAATGAGTAGAAGTCAGAAGTAGGAAGAAAAATTAGTAATGGAGTAAAATATAAATACCTAAAAAGTGTACTTAAGGACAGCAATGAAGTATTTGTACTTCGTAACTTGACACTGCTGACATTCTAACATGTTTTAACAGCTATGTTTCTAATGACTGTAAGTAAATTTCAAACACAATTGAAAGTTCAGTTCCACGTTCTTTATGTTTGGTTTTGTCTTTTTGAATTATTTTAAAAACACGTGATTATTACTTCAATATTTTTTGTTGTTGTTGTTGTTTTTTACTGCACATGGATTGGAAAACAGCTGGAGTTGTAAAATATATTAGAACTACAATGGTAGTCTGATGACATTGGATGTATCTTTCAAGTCAAATTTTATTACAGTAATAGTATTTGTGTCTTAGATGGCTATATAGCTTGACATAATCATAGATTATGTCAAGCCATATATAGTAGATTTGTTTGATTTGTTCCATCCCGGTGCTCCCAATAGGAGGGCTTGATCCAAGCTCAGTTCTCCAAAAGCAAACCAAGCTGGTTCATAAATCACCATTTAAAGTTTTTTTTTAAACTTTTTTTACTTAAGTCCCCCCTGCATCTGATGAATTGTTATTTTGAGGTCCTCCTTGCTTAAGACTGTTGATAAACGTATAAACTGTTAATAATTGTTAGACTTCATTCAGTTTCATTCATGTTTTTGGACTCCAAGGTGTTGCCTCCCCTTTCAGAATGTATCTGTTGTGGTTTGGTTTGTGGATCTCTCTCTATTTTGTTTTTCAGCAGAGCACTATTTTGGCAGGGGCCAGTGGTTTGTTCCACTGCGCTGCTGTGGACTGAGACACCTGCATTCCATCAGCTCATCAGCCCTCTGTTTGAAAAGCCTGGTTGTCTTTGTACAAGGCTGCCAGACAATTTTACCCCGTTCTGTAGACTGCATTAGACTTTGATCCTCATTTTCCATTCTTTGACTGGACAACTTTAATCTGCTGTTCTAACATGCCACTTCTTCGGCCCAGGTCTCCTCGGTCTCCTGATTGACTCCATCTAATCAAGTGGACCAGCTCCCTGCCACCACTGTGCTCTCCAATGTTTTGTTAATACACTGCTAAGACTGTGTTTAGAATCTGTCTCTGCCTTGGGGTCCACCAGTAATCGTCACAAACATAACAGAAATGTCTGGCCAAAAATGGACCCTGCAGAGACTGAAAGGATAAAGCAGATCCTTGCAGAGACTGAGAGATTTAAAGAAGCTATTGCTTTACAAGGAGTCATTGTTGCT